AAATTCAAACATCATTTTTAAATGTTTAATATGAAAGTGAACCATATGATGCTATATAAATATTTTCATTTGATTACTATATTTTCAATTTTGCTCTAGATATTCAGCGTATTCTATCTTTTCGTTATAGTTCGTGTCTACTTTTGTAAAAAAAAAAAAATTTTGAGTCCACACGTGACCGGAAAGATAAAACTTATAAAGTGAAATATGCAATAATTAATTGATAAATACATGTAAAAAATTAGTGAAATTTAAATACTTTTGAAATTGATTAATCACATATTTGGTTTATAGAATTTGATTCTTATATTATCTAAACTTATATAGCTTCTACAATTTTTTAACAAAATGATAGTTTTAAATTTATTTTTTATTCATGTTTTTATGAATATTTGCATAAAATACTCTATACAAAAATCAAAATTGTATGTGACATAATTTTTTTTTAGTTTTTTTCAAAACTATTTTTTATCTTATCAATAAATGAAGTTCATAACATTTTTTTTTTAAAATGCATATTTTAATATTAGTTGCATAGAGAAAAAAATTAGTACAAAATTATCAATGGTGTGTCAAGATTAGTTAAGTTTGGGCCTAAACTTACACAATTGTTGTATCAATTATCGATATTTAATACCATACGTTACAAAACGTTCATATATAAGATTTTCTTTCCCTCAAGATATTTCCTTAGGTTTTAAAAAGTGTATTTGTTGGACTAGTTTTTTTAATTACAGAGTTAATTTGATTTTACAATATAATAAAAGTTGAGATTCAAAAGTAAAAATAATTTCAAACTATCTTATGTGAATTATTTTAAAATATATAATTTTTTCTCGTGTTATCAAAATATTGACAAACCAAACATGATAGAAAATTATATAGAGACATTATGGCATGTCACCAATACAAAAAAAAAATATTAGAACATCTTATATACTTTTTTTAATTAGTTTATTAGTTTAAGTAAATATATTGATATCACATTTTTTTTAAAGAATCAATGCAAAAATGCTAAAATCTAGAGGGACAAATGTAAACTTAAATAAAAATAAAGTACTAAAAATGAAAAATTGTTAACATTAAAAGTGACATGTGGTAGCCTCTCAAAGGTTCACTTAGAAGAAACCTTAAAATATTATATTAGAT